TGTTTTTGATTAGCTTGTTCTTTTTGTTCCCTAGATTCCACGTATAAGTGAAATCATATGATACTTATCTTTCTCTATCTGACTTATTTCACTCAGCATAATAACCTCTAGGTCCATCCATGTCATTGCAAATGATAGGATTTCATTTTTTTAATGGCTGAGTAATATTCCATTGTATATATGAACCATAATTTCTTTATCCAATCGTCTGTTGCTATGCATTTAGGTTGCTTCCGTATCTTGGCTATTGTAAATTGTGCTGCCATGAATATTGGGGTACACAGATCTTTACAAATTATTGTTTTGCTCAGGGTCGCCAATCATCAGAGAAATGCAAATTAAAACCACAATGTGATATCACCTCACACCTGTCAGAATGGTCATCATCAAATCAACAAACAACAAGTGTCGGCGAGGATGCAGAGAAAAGGAAACCCTCATATATTGTTGATAGGAATGCAAATTGGTACAGCCTCTATGGAAAACAGTATGGAGGTTTCTCAAAAAATTAAAAATGGGTATATCTTTTGACCCAGCAATTGAACTTCTGGGTATTTATCCAAAGAATGGGCATTTTCTTGCTCTCCACAGGCATGAGCTTCACTTCCAGGGGGCCCAAGTTTACATAATCCTTGAAATCCCACTCACCTTCATAGAGTATTTCATGTTAGAGGCCCCAAACTCTGAACATAAACTCTCTTCTTTATCTGTCCTCAGATGCTGGCCAGATCTGATGTTATCCTCATGACTAAGATGTAAAGCACTGATCTCAACTGATGAGCTCATCATGTCTCTACTATTTAGTTCTACGGGTTGCAATTTCGACTTTTTTAGATATGTTTCTGGCAACTCCAAATCTCTGTTGTTTCTTGAATAATGGTAAAATACTAAATTTTAAGAAAAGTAATTTATAATCTAATTGTGTTCGCTTTGTGCTCTCTTAAGGCACTGAAGGCATCCTCAATGTAGCTGGGAAGAACGACCATTGTGAGTGCTGGACTCACATTCTGGCATTGTTACAAGAGGCTCAGTGGCAGAGCCAGCTGTCCATTTAACTTCAACATAATGACTGGCCTGGTTGGGGTCACTTGTACATTACCTAAATACTCATTACTGTCATAATATATACAATGTGTGGCCAAATCCTACCTCCTGTGATTAGAAGAGCGGAGTTCTATTATTGATCGCCCCAAAAGAACCACGTAGAGTGGGAGCAGATAGTTCCTCTCTATGAAAGGGATGCTGAACAGCTAAAAATAACACTTGTTCACTTCAAATGTCTACAAGCAAACTAAAGTTTGATAAGAATAGCTAGAGCCACTTCCAACTTCTATCCTTGTTTACTCCATTCTGGCTACATTAGACTCCTTGCTGTTCTTCAAACAAGCCATATATACTCTCCACCTCTGGGCCTTTGTACTTCTACCTGGAATGCTTCCCCCCAGATAAGCACATAGTTATGCCCTTATCTCCTTCAAATCTTTGCTCAAATATCATCCTCTTGGTGAGGACCATGCTAAAACGGCAATAGCTTATACCTCTACACTCACACACACACATGCACACACACACTCACACACACACACACACACACACACACGCAGACCTTAGCTCCCTACCCAATTCGGCTTTTTCCTAAGCATTTATCATTATCTAACATACTCTATGTTTTACCTATGTGTTGTCTCAAGACAGCATGGGGACAGAAACTTTTTCCTGTTTCATTTACTCACTCATATATCATCTTCAGCACCTAGTACAGTGCCTGGCATGTAATCAGTGCTCATTAAATGCTTGATAAACTAATAGTGGAATCTAGCAGGGTGCCTTGTCATTCTCAGTGTTAGATAATGTACCCTACAGTATTGTACAAAGGGAGGGAGGGAAGTACAGAACAGTATAGTACATGAATATGGTCCTCATTTGTTGACCTCCCCTGGCAACCACGGTTTAGCAAAGTACATCCTGACCGCAGTGCTGTGGAACTAGACCAAAGGTGAGTTTTCCACAGTTCTCTGGGAGAAGGGCTAAGATGCCCTAGATCAGTTCAAGCCCTACCTAATGTCCTTGTTATGTTTGCATATCTGTATGATTAAATAGCTGCCTGGTTTCCTAATCCACACTCCCTTTCACCACTGGGACTTAAATCTTATTCTGAATCTCAGACCTAACACCCTGCCCAGCCAGGAGGCTACATCCTGACTCCCAATCCAGAGCTACTGGCTAGGGTACTACCTCACTCAGACCACCTGGAACCGGCCAAGATGCTGCCAACAATAAATCAGAATATTGTCAGAACAGAGAGAGTACTTTTGCAACATCTCATTCATCCCATCTCTCAGACTGGAAACCCTTCAGTATTAATTTGGCCTAATTTCTCTGGACTTTGACAATTCTCTGTGGACTCATGATTTCCATCAAAACTCTGTAATAGAGTTAGTTCCACTAAGCTAATTCTTCATGTTTCTGGTTTTTTCCCTCTCACCATAGGCATCACTGCTATGCATGTCCCATTTTTGACCCTCTGCCTACACTGGAAATTAGGGAAGACCTTGATCACATTTACCCAGGGAAAGTGCAGTGTGTTATTTACTCTAAACCATCTTTCTAAAGTTGTGTATGCCTTGTTTACATATACACTTAAAATTAAAGTGAAGAAGAAAAAAAAGATGATTAAATAAATTAGTGGTTTTCTTTGTATTTATTTCCAGTGGATCCATCAAACTTTGGATGACAAAACAATTTGTTTTGCAAAAATTGTCCTGTCAAATGATTTTAGATTCAGACTATGTAGGATTATGAATACTTCAGTATCTACTAATCCCTGAATACCTCTAAAATGCCTCTAAGCAAAAGTCCTTTATGTTCCGGTTTATTTTCAAACCAGGAACTCCAAGGTTTAGAAATAAAATAGCACATATGAAAGCATTTTCATAGTTGAGAGTTGTCTGGAAATGGACCCACATACATTTGGAAATTTGTTACACATAGTATTATCAATCAGTGAAGAAAAGATGAATTATTTAATAAATATTGTTGAGACAATTGGCTAACCATTTGCAAAAAAAAGTAAAGCTGAATTCCTAATAGATTCTTTTCATTAAATTCCAGATAAATTAATTTGTTTATAAGCTTAGAAGAATCATCTAAATATAACTCTAACTTAGAATACATAAAAGACAATTCAGTTTGGCCACCTAGAAATTAAAAATCTGTACAGCGAAAAGTACTATTAAAAGTTAAAAAATAAATAAATGGAAAATATATTTGGAAAAGATAACAGACAAGAGGTCAATGTTTTCAATAATTAAATTTATTATAAATCCTTTTTAAAGGTGAATAACCTAATAGAAAATATAACGGTTACAAAAAATAAATGCAAATGGCCAAAATGTCAAAATATGTTCATCCTCCCTGATAGTCAGGAAAACATGAATTAAAACAAGAAATAAGATTTTTCATCTATTAGATTGGCAAGCTTATGCAACACCCTAGTTTTATAGTGTCTGTTTTGGTACTGTAATACTTTGTTGAGGAGTAATTTGGTATAATTTCTTTAGAGGATAATTTTTCAATAGAGGTATGAAAAATATGTGTTCATATCCTATGACCATCAAGTCCTCGTCAAGGAACTTATCCTACTCCCACAAGGGTGTGAAATTATCTATTTTGGAGTGTTCACTGTAGCAGTTTGTAATACAAAACCTAATTTGTGATCAATAGGACAATAATAAATGTAATAATATGCCTCCATTAAAAACAATCATGTAGGTCGGTACATACTGATATAGAAAGACTTCCAAATATACTTTTAAAAGGAGGTGGAGGGAGGCTTAGAACAGTATTTTGAGTTAAAATTCACACACAATTATATATTCCAAGCATCTGGATGTTTACAATAAAATGTTTATCACAGGGGAGTGAGACTAGGGGAATGGAAGAAAGCATCAAAGCCTAATGCAAATATCAAAAATCACACGACCAGCAGCAGGTTAGTCCAGCGGTCCCCAACCTTTTTGGCACCAGGGACCAATGCTCCTATGAGAATCTAATGCCTGATGACCTAAGGTACAGCTGAGATGGTGATGCTAGCCCTGGGGAGAGGTTGCAAATACAGAAGCTTCACTTACTCGCCAGTGGCTCACCTCCTGCTAAGCAGCCTAGTTCTTAACAGGCCATGGACCAGTACCAGTCCAGGGCCTGAGGATTGGGGACCCCTAGTTAGGCTACTAAGTCATTGGTCCTGTTCATTAATTATTGTATGACTTTCATTCAAGAATTGCCCTGATTAGTCACTAAACAACCTGGGAAATTGCTCAAGAGGCGATGAGTTAAGGTCTCTCTGCTGATGTTTCAGAAGATCATTGGTCTTTCATGAAGGATTATCTTTTATTTATTCATTTCATCATGATTGCTTTATCTCCCATTCTGGCGCTGATCAGTTTGAAATAAGATCTCCTTTCATAAAACCAACACTTGCGCAAAACTGTTTTTGCTTTTATTTTCTGTGAGAAATCTCAAAAATTTAATGACATTTCCAGCAGGTATAGAGGAGGCTGAAATATAAACTGTCCCTCCCGATAACCAGGTGCCATCTCAACCACATTTCTCACCAGTCCCTGTCTCTGCTGAAAGTGTTTTTCCTAGTGCTGTGCACATCAATGTCAACGTGAGACAACCAGAAACTGTGAAGAGAAACGGGGCCTGGAATTCACGAGAGCGTCACACGTTTTCCCCTTCCCTGGGGACTCAAGGGCCACATAACCAGGTGTGTCTTTTTATTTCCAGAAACCAGTAAACAGCCTTCCCACTGCGACAGAAACACCAAAGACACAGTCATCATTGCCAGAGTGTGAAAGGCACCCAGCGGGTTTTCCCCGACTCCGGGAAACGCCTGCCACGGGCTCACTAGAAGCAACGGACTGCGGCAGGAAGGAGGCCACCGGCGACTACAATTCCCAGTATGCGTACAGGGAGCGCGGTCACGCACGCGCAGCCCAGACGCTGGAAAGGAGGGCCTGCTGCGGGGCTTCTGGGAGAGAAAAATGGCCGCACCCAGGCTGCTGCCCGGCATGGGCAAGCTCTTTGAGATGCCGGCAATGCTGGGGCGGGTGAGCCGACCCCATAGCACGTCCCACGCCTTCGCGGAGGTTCTACGGCTGCCAAAGAGGCAACTGACGAAGCTCGTGTTCCCATTACAGGAATTCGAGCGGCATCTTCTCCAGGACTCGGGGTCCGACCTTCACTTGAAGACCTTCCACCCGAGCCTGGAGGACATTGCGAGGGCAGAGGGCTTCTTCACCGCCACCGCCCGGAACCGCATCGAATACCTGAGTTCGGCGGAGCGTCTTGACCACGCCCCGGACCTCCCACGTCCGGAGGTGAGGTCGCAGCTGCCTGCGGGTCGTGAAGGTGGGGGCCGGGGTTTTGCCCTCACCTATTTCTTGACACAAAACGAGAGAGGTTTTCTAGCTTTATGTGGGTGCATATAATTATTTTAACTAAATAAGCAAATATAGTTTTAATTATTTTCGTAATGAATATAGGAGACTTCAAAGGGTTTTAAAATCCAAGCCAAGCTTTCAAAAATTTTTTATCCTATTTAGATAAATAGAATAAAATAGAAGTAGATAAAGAGAAGAATATGACAAGTATAATAGTTTCACAAATTAGGTGATCCTTATCAATATGTAATTTTCACCCAATCTAAATTTCCTGTCATGTGTTAAAAAATAATTATACATAGATGGCAATAATGTAGAAGACTTTATAAACAACTTTAGTGAAAGTCCATGACTGCATTTTATGCATGTCCTGCAGTATAATAATTTTTAAATTAGTAAAGTTTTCTTCTAAGTCTGCTAAAAGTAAACTCAGATCTCTTTACATGCTGTAAGTCCTCACTTAACATTCTGGATAGGCTCTTGGAAATTGTGACTTTAAGCGAAACAACATGTAACGAAACCAGTTTTACCATGGGCTAAATGATATAAATAAGAGTTAAGTTCCTACAGCATCTTTCTTGTCACAAAAACATCACCAAACTTCAAAATAAAGACCCAAAACACTTTTAATATTGAACACTGAATGTGAACTATACGTACATTTAAGACAGATTAATAAAAACAAGTGAGATAATCATTTTCCAACCCACTTATTCCAGTTCAGGGTAACAGAGACAGAGCCTCTCCTGGCAGTTCAGGGCGCACAGTGGGAACCAGTGCTGGACAGGGTGCCATTACCTTGCAGGGCCCACCCACACCTACATTCCCTCATAGTGGGACAATGTAGCCATGCCAGTCCTGCACATCTTTAGGATGTGGAAGGACACTGAAGTACCGGGAGAAAACCTACACAGAAATGGGGAGAACATGCAAACTCCACATAGACAGTGGTCCCGGCTGGGATTCTTTTTCCTCATCAAGGTTATAGCAAAATGAAGTTGAATGTAACAGTGTTATTCAAGGATCTGATGTATTTGCAGTATCTGCACAACTGCACTAAAACTTTTCTTCTAATAAATAGAACTGCTATAATAACTTAAGAGCATATGAATCATTTAATTTTGAGATAGCATTGCTTTTCGATTCAAGCTTCTAAATTACTGGATTTTTTGTGTAATTCATTTTTTAAAATTCAGTTTTATTATCTACATATTATTTTTGGATTTAATCTGGCAGAACATTTGAAATTTATGCAAGATTTAGATCAATTCATTTTGAAGGACCATGGTTTTGCACAATATATAGCATCCCTGACCCCTGCCCACTAAATGCCATATAATCATAAAGTGCCCTTACACATTTCCAAAACACGCCCCCAGGGGGCGGTATCACCCTCATTTAGAACCCCCTTCAATACCATGTTAAAAAGCAGAGCCATGGATATTAATGTTTAGTATCAGAAATATTTTGTTGCTTCCTACATTATAGAGAACTAAAGGAGAAAAGCGTAATTGGAAGAGAGGTCAAGAGAAAGGAATAACTTCTTAATTAAAATAGTGTTACAGTATACTCTGAAAGTTTGTTAGGAAATGTGGTTCCAAACCTGTACTTTAGAGCCAGTTTCGTTGGAACGCTTCTGGTTTTTATCTTCTAAAAGCTTTGTAGATATGGAAAGCTTTGTAAATGTTGCAGATGTTCTTGAGTAGCATAGTGTAATTAAAAGCATAGGTTCTGGATATAGATATCCTGAGTTCAAATTCCAACTCCTTCACTTTCTAGCTGTACAATTTGGGGCCAATTAGTTAACCTCTCTCTATCTCTCCTTTTATCATCTGTAAAATGAAGATAATATACCTCATAGGGATGTTGAAAAAGGCAAATAAAATATATGTTAAGTGCTTAGAACAGCATCTGGCATTTTGATATCATTCAATAGATAGTAGCGTATGTTAGAATTTGAGATTTGACTAAACATAAGCAACTGTTTATGGCTGTGCAAAACTGAATAGTTTGACAGATTTTTGCAGCTAATGCCTCATATAATAAATATATGGATATTAACTAGTACTCAGTTATCTTTTTTCTTGTATAAGGTGTGTTTTATAGGCAGAAGTAATGTTGGAAAATCCTCTTTAATAAAGGCTTTATTTTCATTGGCTCCAGAGGTTGAAGTCAGAGTCTCCAAAAAACCGGTATGTTAAATTTTAAAATCTCTCTGAACTATCCCTGAATTGACTAAGATGAATAGTAAATGTTGGGAAATACAAGAAATCATAATTGCTAAGTTCTTAGAAAAGTGATTTCTTTCAAACAAGTACTAAAGTAAAACATTTCGTTAATGTTCGTGTATTTCTCTGAAGAAAAGGAAGTATGTCTGGATTTATTTTAGTAGTCTTGCCAGTATCTTGAGGAAATCATCTTTGGTCCAAATATTTTCCAAAGAGTTGTTTTATTGTAATTCTATATTTGCTTCTATGAGAATGATCATCTAGTTCTACATTGATTTCAGAGGAAACAGTTTTAAAGTGTTTTTTTTTTTCACCTCCTATAATCGTTTACACCTTGCTAACTCATGCATATAGACCAATCAGGCAGTCCCCAGTTTACCCTGGGCCAAATTAATGTCCTTATTATCCCAGCCAGTCTGCTGTAGTAGCTTTCTATTATTTTCTAATTTCCTCTACTACCTTCTCAATGATGCAAACTCTACCAATATCTAAGATACCCTCTCTTCAGAACTCACCCTTAGTTCCCCTCACCTTATTATCTATCCGTGGCAAAACGTTCCCACCAACCCACTGCCCCTTTCCTTGCATTGGAACTCACCCATGAGGCTTCACTAGTACTTTCTTGGCCCCCACTTCTTTATATAGCTGATTCCCTGACTCTAGAGTAGCACTGATGTTTGTTGTCATTTGTTAACCCTTCGGTCCTTACTCCTTCCCTACCTCACCAAATAACCTAGTTAAACTCTCACTTTTAGGTAGGGAGGACAGTGGAAGAAATGTGTTTTTGACATTTCTGATCTGTAATTCTAAAATTATTTTCCCATAGATAGACACATAGCTAACGGGAACCATTTATAAAATCTTCCTCTGAAAACATTTGTTCTAAGTTCCAATCAGTTGACTTTTTATTTTTTTTAAGATATTTATTAAAATATAGCTAATGTACAATATTGTATTAGTTTCTGGTGTACACCATAGTTTTTCAGCATTTTATACCTAAAGAAGTGATCACCATGATAACTCCAGCACCATACAACTCTATCACAATATTATTCACTATATTCCCTGTGCTGTACACCACATCCCCATGACTTATTTGTTTTATACCTGGAAATTTGAACCTCTTATTCCCCTTATTTCCCCCGCCCCTTTTTTGATTTTTCAATTACAGTTGATGTTCAGTATTATTTTATATTAGTTTCAGATGTACAGCATAGTGGTTAGACATTTATATAATTTATGAAGTGATCCACCTGACTAGCACCCACCCGGCACTATACAGGGTTATTACCATATTATTGACTATATTCCCTATGCTGTACTTTACATCCCCATGACTATAACTACCATTTATACTTTTTTACTTAGTCTCCTGCCCCTCTTTAACAATTGACTTTTTAAAGTATCTTAATCTTTCCTTTTCTGATTAATAAATGTCCATAGACACACAACCGTGAATAAACCACTTATCTGTACATCATTTTTGGTTGCACAGATATTAGTGCTGTACATGCTTTTAAAAAATGATTTAATGAAAGCACTAAAATCCACCTAATGGATAATGCAAAACTTCTTCATTTTAGGGGAGCAATAATCTAGGCATAATAAACTATCCGACTTTGCATTTAGGCTTTATGAAAACACATATGATTAACAGTAATCATTTAATTTAAGCTATCTGTGTCATAATTTATTTTTCTTTAAAGGAGAGATAGATTACTCATCACAGAACATTGACTAGTTCAGTCACACCATTTAGAACAGGGTACTTTTTTCACTGAAAGAGAGCTAATGAAATAGGAAAGACTCCAAAATATTTTGTCTACATATTTCTAATATGGAATCTAAAGTTCTTCTTAAGTCATATAGATTCTCTTAAAATTATGAGTTAGAGGGAAGAAGTAGTATCATCTAAGCTTATCTCCAGTTGCTTCCCTTCCATCTTTTTTTCCTGTCTCATCATCAGCATAGCTGGGGTTATGTGTAGAATACTTATACATGTTAATAAATATGTGTTAATTGAATTGAAAATATTTGAGTCATGAACTACATAAAGGACATATTTTAAGGAAGCTTTCATTTTTCTTTTTTTCAGGGGCATACAAAGAAGATGAATTTTTTTAAAGTTGGAAAGTATTTTACATTGGTAGACATGCCAGGTTATGGCTATAGAGCACCTGAAGATTTTGTTGACATGGTTGAGACCTATCTAAAAGAACGAAAGAAGTAAGGAAAAAATTTTCTTATAATAGTTATAAGAAACCAAAAGCTTATTTTTAAACCAAAAGCTTATTTTCATTAAATGAAAAAACATGATGATCATTTTAGTTTTATCAAGTGATTTCTTTTAGAAAATCCATTTTATTCTCAATATTTTGCAACACAAAATTTGGGACCAAGGTATGTACTGCATGCTTAGTTTTTTCCTATTGGTTAGCTTAATCTTAAGTAACTGTTTTCCTGAATTGAGACTGTAAATAGTACTTGAGCAGAGTTTATTTATATTCTTATACCAAACTCTTAGCTGGCTAATTTTGAAAATGAAAATTGTTGGTTAATGTGGTATTTACCAGGTTTAAATAAACTTATGTAAAGTCTTAAAGTACTTCTGACATCATTTCCTCTATAAATGTCACCTTTTTTTGTTCCCATAGGTAGTCAGATGGCAGTTGTATGTTTAAAAAGCATTGCACGATGTGTAAGAAAATTAACGTTAACTTTGAAGTGTCAAAAAGTGTTTACAAGCATCTCGCTTGTTGTAGCTTTACATAGAAACTAAGAGGAAATGTTTACACAAGAAAATACAAATATGATGTCTGGTTTGTGTTATCTGTTAATTTTAAAGTAATATTTGAAAATTTAAACATTTTTATGATAACATAGTTAATTGGGTTCATATCTCTTTCTCCCACTAGAGTTCAAGCTCTCAGAGGAAGGGATTCACTCATCTTTGTATCCAATCCCAAGCATAGTGTCATGTTCAATACATGCTATTGAATAAATTAATATTTAGTGAATTTACTTAACTTGGACTGTAGGATGGACTTCCTAGTGAACCGAGAATTTCCTTGAGAGCCTCAAGACATTAACTTTGACTAAAAAAATGGTCAAAGGAAAATTTATTAGCATAGTGAGGGTGGGAGAAATGAATTAATTTTATATTACCATTAATCTTTATTTCTGCATTCTTATAGTTTGATGAGAACATTTTTGTTAGTGGATAGTGTTGTTGGAATTCAAAAAGCAGACAATATTGCCATAGAAATGTGTGAAGAATTTGCATTACCTTATGTGGTGAGTATTTCTTTTGAATCATGGTTGCAGTTAGAAATAACAGTTCTGTGTGAGTCTGTCAGTCTTTTTAATAAATAAGCAAGTCTTGCCTCCTCAAGAGATAAAGGAGTACCTTTTGAATAATCTTTTATTATCAATCATTAATAAGTTCTGTGAAACTTTTCCTTCTCTCAGCTTTAAGTTTTCAAAATTCTAGTCAAAGAACAGATTTAAGCTGTTTAGAGTTCTTAAGTTCGTTCTTTCTTTCTTTTTTACTAACAATGTAAACATTTGTTTAAAACATGTTAGTAGCTCTTTAACAGCAGCTTGTTAGATAGTACTTTTCAGTATGTAAATAAAACTAACTGAAAAATTTGCTAAACTAATTCGGAATTTAAGAACCATTACAAGAACATAGCAGGCTCAAGTGCACACAAGTAGGATTTTTCTATTCTTAAAACAAAATTTCTTTTGGGAATATCTTACCAGTGTTTTTTTTTGTGTGTGTTTGTTTTGTTTGTTATTTGCTCTGCAATAGAATACAAATTAGTATATTGGTATCCACATTTATTTTGCTTTGTGAGTTTTCCAGATTAGTACTCTTAAAGTTCCTTTCTAAGGAAAAGTGGAGAACTTATTGACTACAATTTAGTTTCAAAAAAGTGTCAGAAAACCACTAAAATCTAACCATGTATTTTAATGCAAATCAAACCATGTTACTACTCAGCAACTTTTTTGAAAGCCCTGTAAAGCATTAGCGATTGCCTACAGTTACAAGGAGCCAACGGATTGATAGTCTACATGGTAAAAAAAAAAAAAAAAAAAAAAAACCCAAAATAAAAAGCCTAAATAATGCCAGACTGGTTTTATTAACTGATAGTATTCCTGATTTGGTCTCATGGATTACCAGTTTGTGAAATTATATATTTTCCTCAATTTTAACTTTAAAGAAATATTACTTTCTTCTTTGAAAAAGAGCTTGTGATAGACGAAATTATGTCTCCTTTTAAATATCAGCATGTTCGCCTTTATGAGGAAGGACTCCCATTTGAGGGATTCACAGGTCATTAGAAACGACCCACTTTTTGCTTCTTTCTTCTACCATTAACACTTTTTATAACTGAAAAGCCTAAATAGTCAGTCAGGAAATTTAATTTTATAGAAATTTTCCAGGAAAACCTGGTAGATCAAGGTTTTACTTTTTAATTGATTTTGTAATCATCCATGCTTTGACCTTCTTCTAGTATGTGATTGTCTTTAAATTAGTAATTATTCAAAGTAATTACTAGAAAGGCTAGTAAATTCTAGACTTACTTAGAATATAATTATATAAAGCTTGTAATAGTAGATACAGCTTACAAATAGCCTAATTTCTAATTTTTCCTTTAGATTATTATAGATGAAACCATTCTGTAGGTCAAAAAATTACAAGTTGGCAATTTTTTATGGATCAATTTATTAATACTCACTTATATATCTTAGACCACAGTGTGTATAGTAATCATATGAAACATTTGGCTTATGGCAGTTGCACATATGACTCCAGGGTCCTTTAGCAGGAATTTTTTTTATTTTATAATGAGGAAACAAGTGCAGAGTGTTTAAGAAACTTATACATGTCACCTAGTCGTTATTGAAAATTTATAGCTAAAATGTGTAAAACTTTGTATTAAGAAATACTTTATTTCTAATGGTGAAATATTTGTTTTCTTGTAGATGGTATTAACAAAAATTGACAAATCTTCCAAGGGACATCTTTTAAAACAGGTGCTTCAGATCCAGAAATTTATTGACACTAATACGCAAGGATGTTTTCCTCAGTTGTTTCCTGTAAGGTAAGAGTCATTTTTACAACTCTACATACTAATAACCTTTAGTATTAAATTAGTGTTTCTTAAATTGAGGTGTCACTTAAAATTAGAGGAGTTTGGAAGACTATACACTTAGCCATGATTTATTGGTATAACTCATCCCCACTTTTTTTTCTTCCATTTTTTCTTCCTTCTGCAGATTTTGCTGGATCTTCCCTGTAGGTATCTTCATTCTCCTTCTACCAAAGCTTAGCTCAACACTAGACCACAGCAGAAGTGAAAACTTTTTACTTTTTAGAATTAGCTATACAATAGCCACAGTAAAAATACTATCATCCCTTTCTCAGTTCCAAAGAAAAACAACTTATCTTTATGGTAGAAAGCTCATTCAGGCTATGATGGATAAAAATATTCCTTTCGAAGGACCATGTATAAAAAAAAAAAAAAAATGTGTCATATAAGTTAGAATTAAGCACTGGTAGGAGACAGAATGATTATTTCCTGAGCTGGCAATTTTTGAGATATTGGGTGTAGTTTAGTGATGAAACATGAGTTTGTATTTTCAGTGTATGTCTTGGGCACACAGTAAGTGACCTGTACTATTGCAGAGTTACAGTGCCACTCCCCTGTGATTTGTCCCACTCTAACTTCTTTGTGAGAGGCACTATGGTAGTTGCTACGAGAAAACAATGAAACCAAGTAACAGTTGTATAGTAAATTATTCTCTAAGCCAGGGGTCCCCAACCCCCAAACCACAACCAGTCTGTGGCCTGTTAGGAACCAACTGGGCCACACAGCGGGAGGTGAGTAGCACCAGCGAACGAAGCATCATCTGTATTTGAAGCTTTTCCCTAGTGCTAGCATCACCGCCTCAGCTCTACCTCAGATCATCAGGCATTCGATTCTCATAGGAACATTGGTCCCTGGTGCCATAAAGGTTGGGGACTGCTGCTCTAAGCAGTCAGTCATTCTAGGTCCTACCAATTCAGATCACATTTAAATTATTTGTATTTACAAAATGGCTATCAAAATCCCTCTTTATTCATTCCTACAAAATGTTCTTCTTTCACTTACATTCATATTTATCCTGTTCATTTATCGTGTTCACATGTGTTGCATATATACAATGGAAAATCCTAGGAACAGGAATGAAATCCTAATTCTTCTTAGAGCCCTGAGCATTGTCACAGAAAAACAGCTGTTTCTGTTAACTACTTAATAAGGAAGTGAGACTTCAGCAAAAAAGGCAACACAAACATAAGATGGGCAAATTATGCCTTAACAGCAGCCTTTATTGAAAAAAAAAAATTTTTAAGTTTTAGTTGACTATAAGCTGTTTGATTTAATAGTATAATGGGGCTAGGGAAAAACTGACAATGTTTTCTCAAGCTACATTAAGAGAATTATAGTGTTCAAAACAAGGGAATGATCAAGCAATAGTCCCACACTGCTGTAAGCTGGATGCCACCAGACCAATCAAGTTAGAGTGTGGCTTAACATTAAGAACAACTAGAGCTATCTGAAAACAGAGGGTCTTGGGGGAGGTCATGTCACTAGATCATGCAAAACACTTAATTGATCCTCACAGTAAACATCCCTATTTCATAGATACAGATACAAGTTGAAGAAGTGAAGTGAGTTGCAGAGAGGTATTGGCTATGATAGAAAGAGCATGGGCTTTAGAATCAGCTATGGTTTTATATGGTTCCTCTACTTCTTGGCTATAGATTTTAAAGCAACTTGTTTGATTTTCTGAGTCTGTTTTCTCACTAGTAAAAATGTGATTGTTAGAAGGATAAAATAAAATGTATTGTGACTGATGTACTCCCATTCGCCGTATAATAAATGTTAGTTGCCTTCTTTGCCAAAGGTCAGACAGTAAATGGTAGGGTCAGGCCAAAAACCCAGCTTATCAGATTCCCAGTACTTTTTAGGGGCATTCTTGTCTTTAGATATACCAGCATTCTCTGCTGTATAAGCATGGAATCACTGTTGCCACTGTACTCACCGGAGGTGACCAAGGCACTATAGAAACCACACAGCACTCAAAGTCTAAGAATTGAGACATAGGAGCCTGTTGACTTTCTAGAACATCAGTGTTCACTACACCAGTGACCACATATAGGAAACTGGCAGGCTATACTCTGTAGTTTTCAAAACCCAATTCAGAAAGTAGTTGTATATACTTCCTGCTTTTACTAGCATGACTTAATCCCATTCCATCCCTCCAGATGGAGTTTGGCCTATTCACAGAATAAGTATAAGTCATATTTTCTTCTCTTCCCATATGATCTTGATAGGAGAAAGGTGGAAATGTGGGTAGACGTGGTCCAGTGAGGTTTGGCCTTAAGCCTTTAGGCAAAAGTTCAGCATTAACCTTCATATCTGAACTGTCCCAACTGAGAAAAGTATAAACGGTGAAGGGCCCTAAAGATTGCTGCTGGGATCAGTCTGTTTTTATAAATGCTATGAAATAAATAGCTAAGTAGGTACAGTATAATTGCTTCAGTGGTTTTCTATGTAGTGAAATTCCAAGCAAACAAAACTGACTCTTAAGAACCAAATAAAATCATGAGTTGACAGAAATGTTGTAAATGAGTTCAAGATGTCATGGTTATTGTGTGGATTATCCAACTTTAACTCTCCTTTATGTTGTATAACTTCAGTTATAACCCAAGAGTCATTATGGGCTTTCTCATGCAGTCAGCTTTGGTCAAAAAGTCTAAAATGCTATACTTTATCAGGAAGGTAATTAGCAATATAGGAGAAAATATTTTATCTGTTTTATATACAGGTATACACCATACCTGCATCCATAATAATAGTGTAGCCATAAAAGTCAATGTATCCTGGGGAACCATGTGTTTACTTCTATGCTGATGGGTGAATGAATATGGATGGATATAGTAAGACAGATAGATAATAATAGACAGTAATGGTGATGATAATTTTAAAAAATCATCAAAAAAGGTCTAAATAATCAAGTTGAATCTCTGTCACAAAAATAAAGAGATAAAAACTTTTAGTCCGTGAAATAGAAAGCAAAATAGAAGATATCCCAATAGCATTTTCACAGAAATAGAATAATCCTAAAATTTGTATGGAACCACAAAAGACCCCCAATAGCCAAAGCAATCTTGAAAAAGAACAAAACTGGAGGCAATCACACTCCCTGATTTCAAAGTATATTAGGAAGCTATAGTAATCAAAACAGTATGGTATTGGCACCGTGAAATAGAAAGCAAAATAGAAGATATCCCAATAGCATTTTCACAGAAATAGAATAATCCTAAAATTTGTATGGAACCACAAAAGACCCCCAATAGCCAAAGCAATCTTGAAAAAGAACAAAACTGGAGGCAATCACACTCCCTGATTTCAAAGTATATTAGGAAGCTATAGTAATCAAAACAGTATGGTATTGGCATAAAAAAAACAGACACACAGAGCATTATACCATACCCAAAAATTAGCTCACAATGGATTAAAGATTTGAAGGTAGGACCCAAAACTATAAAACTCCTAGAAGAAAACATAAGTGGTAAGCTCCTTGTCAGTGGTCTTAGTGATGATTTTTGTATCTGACTCCAAAACCAAAGACAACAAAAGCAAAAATAAACAAGTGGGACTACATCAAACTAAAACGTTTCTGCATAGCAAAGGAAATCATCAATGAAATGAAAAGGCAGTTGACTAAAATGGGAGGAAATATTTGCAAATCATATATCTGATAGCGGGTTAATATCCAAAATACACAAAGAACTCATACAACTCAATAACAACAACAAATCCAATTTAAAAAATGGGCAAAGGAACTGAATGGACACTTTTCCAAAAAAGACATTCAGATGGCTAATAGATACATGAAAAGATCACTTAATCATCAAGGAAATGCAAATCAAAACCACAATGAAATATTACCTCATGGCTATTAGAATGGCTGTTAAAAAGACAAGAATTAACAAATGTTGACAAAGATGTAAAGAAAACGCTTGTGTACTGTTGGTGGGAATATAAATTGTTGCAACTTCTAAGGAAAACAGTGTGAAATTTCCTCATAAAAATAGAACTACCATTTGATCCAGCAATTCCATTCTGGATATTTATGCAGTGAAAACAAAAACAATAATTCAAAAAGATATATGCACCCATGTTCACTGCAGCCTTATTTTCAATAGCCAAGATATGGAAACCTAAATGTCTTATCAATGGATAAATGGATAAAGATGATGTGAGATACACACACACACACAAATGGAATACTATTCCGCCACAAAAATGAATGAAATCCTGCCATTTGCAACAACATGGGTGGACCTTGAGGACATTATTACTAGGGGTAATAAGTCCAAGAAAGACAAATACTGTATGATCTCACTTACATGTGGAATTTAAAATAACAAAAAACCAAGCTCATGTGGAGACTGGTGGTTACCAGAGGTGCAGTGGGGGAAGAAAGAGTTGAAGGAGGTCAAAAGGTACAAACTTCCAGTTCTGAGTCATGAGGATGTAATGTACAATATGGTGACTATAGTTAATAATACTGTATTGCATATTTGAAAGTTACTGAGAGTGGATCTTTAAAGTCTTCATCACAAGAAAAAAACTTTGTAACTATGGTGACAGATATTAACTAGACTTATTATGATCATTTTGCAGTATATACAAATATTGAATCATGTTGTACACCTGAAACTAATATATGCCAATTATACCTCCATACAAACAAACAAAAACAACTTTTAGTCCAGGAAATAAAAAGCAAAATAGTAGATATGGTGAAATTTTTAGAATTATAAAGGAAATAGAACAGATAATGTGGACCATCAGATTTAGAATACCACAAGAGGCTGGGGGAAGAGAGGAAAGGTAGGACAAATTAAGACCTTGTTTCATACATGGAACTCAAGAGTTTTGTAAACAATTTTTTAAATTAGATGAATTCAGATCTATGCTACCTCTAAAGTAAGGATGAATATGATTTTTCTTTTCTTTTCACAGTGCTGTGACCTATTCTGGAATCCATCTGTTGAGATGCTTTATAGCGAATATAACAGGAAATCTTAAGACTAATGGCACCTAGTTTAGCTGAAGACTCAAAACTTTTTATGCCAACTGGAGTTAAACACCTAGAATGTCAACATTGTTTTAAATGTTGTATGTATAATTTGCAGAGGATCACTTCAGCTTTCAAACCCACATCTTCCCAAAGTAAGAATGAATTTGTGCCTGAGAGAAAAAATGGTTTATAAATGATACAGTTATGTTGTTCATTAGAAACAGGTACTAGTAGTTTTTCTTATTTTAACAAACTGACAAACGGCCATGCCACCCTGAACATGCCCGATCTCATCTGATCTCGGAAGCTAAGCAGAGTTGGGCCTGGTTAGTACTTGGATGGGAGACCACCTAGGAATACCAGGTGCCGTAGGCATTTAAAAAAAAAAAAAACCTGACAAGAGCAGCATATAGAAGTCCATAGGATGAAAACCTATTTACTACTATGTAGAGAAGGGTTTGCCATGTTATTGGGCTGTCTTTTAAAGAATGTCTATTATGTATATTTTTTAAATATTAAAATGGAGGAGGTAAAAAGGGAGCTACTTTTCTATTAAGCACTGATAGGTAAGTTGAAGATAAATGCTCCTATGTATAGGCATATGTAGGAGCATTTTTTGTGTCCTTATCTGAATATAAATCAATTCTTGATGAAATTTCAGTCCATGCTGGAAACACAAATAAATTCAGGCTGGGATCAGTTGCCCTCGGGTGAACACAAGATTCAGAATCAGAAGACCAGAATTCAAGTTCCAGTTCTATTATTTTTTTGTATGTTGGACCTTGGGCAAATTACTTGATTTCTCTGGGCTTCATTTGTAACTCTGACCTCACAAGCTATGAAGATTAAAGTGGTATTATATGTGAAAAGGACATTTGCATCTTCGTAAAGTGAAACCAACCCAAGAATACAGCAAATTCACAGGTATTTATCACAGAAAACATCTTATGGAGGAAGTAACATTTTCTCTAGTGAAAGACAAAAAACAAAACTAGTTTTAGCTGAAAAAACTTACTTACGAAGGGGGACAAAATAATTGATGGGACTTAGAATCGGTACCTTAAGATTCAGAATGGAAAGATAATGCCTTACTTTGAACTAAAGTTAATAAAAAAGATTTTTCTGAAGATGTTACTGACCTATTCATACAAGTGATTTAGCTTTTCAAAGTGAGGCCAAATAATAAAAGGTTATAAGCAATAAAAAATTAAGGCCATAAAATAACTTTGTGGCTTTTTTAGAAAATTCAATTTTGAATATATTTTCAGTTGTTTTGTAGCAGACAGAGCTAGTCTATTCTATTCAGCAGTGTTTTAAGCTTTAAAAAATGCTGAGGAAAAAATACAATATATACTAGGATACTTTTTTCTGCAAATCTATATAAAACATAAAACAAGGCTACAACCTACTTAAATAGAAGTTTAACGTAATTCTAGTAAGCTAGAATATTTGATATATAACTTTAAACTTCACATCATTATTTGAAAATACATAAGATTTACGCTCTCAGAACAATTGTACAAGCAACAAATATCAGATGATAACATCAGCACCAAATTATAAATTTATGTTTAGCCTTATTCCTGGGTCTACTTTGTGTCTGCTAGCTTTATTTTTCCATTTCACTTTCTCACCTACTTCTACTTTGTTATTCTGTTGTATTTCATGTATAACTGTAAGTCACCTTATATCCTTTTTGGAATCAATCACTTGTACCCTATAAATAAATAAACCAGAAAAAAAAACAAATTTTAGAGAATTCCTGAAGCATTTTAATATGCCCTTCCATGAGATAAGATGAACAAAGTAATGGTTGTGATCAATCCCTGGTAATATAATTAGTGGCTAAACTTTTTAGTTCCTTTGATGATCAATTCTAATATATAAGCAAGACAGCACAACCATTAGAAACTATAAACCTTGACGTTCAGAAGTGGACTTACCTACAACAAAGCCAGTAAGGCCAAAGTGGCCTTTTAGGTGTTTCCTTACTACTCCCCACCTTTACTCCCCATTTACCTTAAGGCACAGAGTAGGTTTTTGCAAGCCTAATTATTCAAGTCTAATTCCCTGGTAAGTCATGAAATTATACAGTTTTTCAGGGACCTACCAGCTTTAACCAAGGAATTACATCTGCTTTTCAAGGGCAGAATATGGTAAGAGTTTTCATCAATACCCGGCATATAGTCAAAGTCAAAATTTGACTAATAGTCAAATACTTGTCAATTAAATGACACAAAGTTACTATAAATGTTTATTGAACAGAAATGAACTGCTGTACATTGTTGCACTAAATCAACTCCTCTCTGAGTCCAAATGGTACTTATAGATCTTTCCAGATCTCAAGAGTTCCACTTAAAACAGCAGAACACTGGACTAGTTTGCTAATCATTTAAAAGTCTCACATATGAGCATCTAAACTCCCATTAAAGCAAAAATATCATCAATGTCATTTATCTCCTTAATGGTTTCTGATGTATTATGTTTATTTATTTGCATCATTGTCCTCAAATCAGTTTCATTTTCTTTGCTTCCTGTAAGAGTTTCATGACTTTGTTTCTCCTTAGTTTGTATGACAGGATTTGAAACTCTGCTACTCAAGAGTTGATTACTGTTAGGATGGAGATTAGTTCTATGAACTGCATGGTGTGATAGTCTCTGTTTACTGGTATCTGTAGCATTTTGAGTCCCATGAGGAGACTGCTGCATTTCCTTTAAAAGAGTCGACTGCAACTTTCTCTGTGGTTTTCTCTGTCTCAGTAAAAATTTGCTCTGTGATCTTCTTTGTCTCAGTTGATGCTTTGAAGTTTTGCTACCTAAGCCACGAAGAAGGCAGTTGCAAATAGATGTTTTTAGGCACTCTAGTTTCTTGGGCAAACTTTAAAAGACAGAGAGAAAGGAAAAATCTTGAGACTTTTAAAATGCAGAAAACAGTCTTAAAAACGTTTAATATGTCTCCTTTTTACCAACTTCCAACAGAAAATGTACAATTTATCTAAGAGTCCTATGCCTGTGTACAAACCAGAATCATAATGAAAAATAAGGATATAGGAGCTTCAACCCAAATCTGCATTTTCAGAGCACAACTTCCCTCATGCAGTAGGCAAATGTGTCCCCATTATGTTCCCAAAGTAAAGTAGCTCCTACAACTGCCTGCCAAGGCAGCTGAATGGTGAGATACCTCCATACTTTAGGGCCAGAACTTTTTCCTGATAACTGCTAATCTGTTCATGATGCAATAGGAATGGAACTGGGAAAGGATGTATCATAAATAGAAAAAAAATCTGCAAGGGTGCATTAGTCCATTTCTGGATAAACAACTTCCCATTATAGCAGGAAATGAATAAGTTGAATGGAATAACAGTGAAGGAGTTTATGTAAGAATGAGAAGACAAGGCTTCTGGCCCAAACTGACTGTCTTGAGCTAACCAATTTGTGATTTACCTATCATCTTCAAGTTTGGGAATTCAGAACTCAAATAGCTGATTATTTTCGGTGTTTTGCTTTTGAATAGGGTACATGCCACAAAGTATATTAGTACCTTGCTAAATGCCCCACTGTTAATGATCATCAGATTTCAAAAGATTAGCATGGGTCTGTGCTTCCTATCCCAATACCCTCTCCTCTTCCTTTTTAAACAAATATAGAACTTGTGGAAGCCCATTATAATGTTAGTAATTCATTATCTGTTTCCAAACTGTTTTCTTAATAGAAGCAGTAATTTTTAAGGAGGAAGAAGGTAGGTGTATCTCCCAATTGAAATGGAAATAGAATGAAAACAGAAGAATCAGAGGATCCGTACGAAGTTCTAGGTCTCCAACACCCTGAGCAAAATCATTTCCTTATCTGTAACTGTGGACATTAAGTAAATTAAAAATATACTAGAAATATATTACTGAAACAGCAAGGCAAGACAGTATGAAAGAGGACTATTTTCTGGGTTACATAGTAATGGTTTAACCAAATACCAGTTTGTTATCCTTCTCATTGACTTTTAATGATTATTATCTCTTCCTCATTTACCCCTGACTTTAAACCTAGAACAACTCCACCTCAGGCTAAGTTTCCACTCTGAGCCAGATCCCTTTTAGATGGCTACAGACCTTTAGTGGGGACCCCAATGTAAAAACTTTTCCACAAATTATTCGTTAGGAATACTTAACTTCTCCCACAGCTTTTAATCAAAACTTGTAAAAAAAAAAAACCTGACTATATATTAGTTTTATTTGTTAAAATGGGAGTATCTTTTCCATACATTTTAAAAGAAAATTTAACAAATTTTAGACTGTAAAATTGCTTCATCCATGGGAACCATTATAAAGCCCTAAACAGATATTTGTCTGTAACTATAGATAAGAAATTATGCTGGATGCACAGAATATTTCTTGAAGGATACATAAAAAACTGGTCAGAATGACACCTCTATGAAGAAAGAATAAGGACCTTTATAGCCATTTGTGGCTGAAATTGTTACCATGGGCATCTATTATTTTTTCAATAAAAATGTAAAACCCTAAAGTGTCTAACTTCATGTAATGTTTTCAAGCAATACCGACTGGCTCACAATCAAAAATGACCATCCTTAAGCAGTTCTATGAACACAGGAATCACAGGAAAGGAAAAAATCAATACATGGCGAGTGTAGCTCCCATGAAGGAACATTACCTGACCCTGGAGTCTGGTGTGTGCCATTATAGGAGGCAAGTACCTTCTGCTTCTGCTGTCACTTATCTTGCTGCACTAAAGCTGTGGGCAGACTGGCTGTCTTTCCTACTAAAGCTAGAACTCTGTGAAAATTAAGTCTGTCTTACAGATGGTTTTATCCCCAGATACTCCTCATGCTTCTGAATGAATGGATGGAATGGTGAGTAAAAATCCAATTAACCAAGTTTACCTGTTTCCTCCCAATGACAGCTTTGCCCAATAAAATCAATTAAGAGTGGGTCTCATTTTTAGCATCCTTCAGGCTACTAACATCCCATTTTTAAGAAAGCTGACTTGAATAAATATATACTTTTGCCTTAAATGATAGCAGGAAAAGGAATATAATTTTTGTAATACACTTACCTATAACCTTGAGCTTCCACATGTTTAAGCCGGTTACTTTTAAGAAGTTTGTTGCCCAGAAAGGAAGCCTGAGCCTTGAGTTTTTTGCTCCTGCACCACAGAATCGCCATTTGAATTTCTTCAGAGAGTTGTATGAAAGTCTCAGCCTCTTGAAATCTTTGCACAAAACTTTGGGCACAAGGAGTTCCTGTCGCTTTCTGAGAAGAATTTTTGGTTGCCTTTAGTTGGGATTTAGGACATTTAAACTCAGAGCTGGCCTCCTGAAATAATGTAAAGGTGAAAAAATATATTGGATTTGTTACTGACTTGTAAATATATGACAACAAAGAAAAGTTGACTCACAGACTATCAAAATTTTTAAAAGAAGAAAAATTTTTTTAGCTCACTGTGCTTTCCTTTTGTCCTAAACTTATTTATCCACGTTCCTAACACAAGATTCGTTTCTCTGTGTGCTACAAAAGATCCTGTCTATAGTTGAATTCAGTTGTACACAGGAAACAATATAAATATTCTAACACATCTCTATTTAACCTATACATAGGAATAAAACTCCACATAATTAAATATTGGTCAAAGCCTATCTGGTAGGAAAAAATTACTGAAGAGCCCTATTCCTCTGTACTACTGGACTACCACCACATTTTTTTCACTTATTTCTATACCCTGAGTTACCTTCCTCAATGAAGAGTCATAAATGTTACTGAAAACACGTGAAGACAGGGATGATTGCCGAACATATGTTTAAAATGCTTAACTGAGCACCATTTCCAATTCTATTCATTTCCAATTCTGTGGCACCTTTGTCTCTTCAACCCATCTTTCTGTATCAAGTTTGAATTTTACCAACTTTTACTGTTTATGAAAATATGCCACCTACTAGGTGGACTTCCATCCTTCATTCGAGGGTTAGCCTTCTTCCAAATGTCCTACCCTCGAGAACATAAAAAAGTAATAGATAATATAAAAGTAGAGACCTATCAATACTTTATGTTGGTGATCAATAAAAGAAGTCTGTCCTAAAAGCCAGCTAAGTGCATTAGTGCTGATTGCTAAAAACGTGGTAGTCATGACTAGTCATGATAAGAGGGACACTGACCAACCAGCTTCAAAACTAGGAAAAGGTGGATGGACTACAGAAGTTTCAAGGGTCACAGAGAGCCATAGTTCTTAAAACAAAGTTGGCAAAACTATCTTGGGGAGTGGTGTAATAGTAAAGAACAAAGACTATGAAACCAAACTGCCTGCACTCAAATCCCAGCTCTGCCTTGTATTTGCTGTGTGCCCTGAGGAAGTTCATTGGCTTTATATGCCTCAATTTTTTCATCTGAAATATGTAAACAATAATAATAGCACCTGTCTCACAGGGCTTTTGTGAGGATTATGTGAGTTAATGCATATAAGTGTTTCAAACAATGCCTAGCAGAGTAAATGCAACGGAAGTACATATTAGCTATTATTATAATCATCATCATCAATTATTCCTCCGTCTGGAACTCATGAATTAGACAGAATATAAATGCAAACTGGAATCCTTGTAAACGTTCAAGAAAGTACTCTGACTTATTAGAATGATTAAGAGTTCTTAAGAAGAATGGAAGAAATAAATCATGCAGGATAACAGAAAAAAACAATTTTGAGAAGACAGAGGGTAACACAAGTCAACTAGTTACCAGATGAAAGAAGGTGACAGTGACATACTTATCTGCTGTTAGGTCCAGAACAAACAGAATTTACAAACACTAAGAAGAATCATGTTAAAGCTTGAACCCTGACAGGAAGAAAGAAATGGAAGCCTCATGACAAAGGATGAGGATGAGGATGATGATGAAAGTAGCTAATAACATCTAATACCAATTAAGTGTCTACCATACTCTTGACTCTGTGCCAAACACTTTACATGCATTAAAGTTGGCAGAACCCATGAAGTACATTCTATTATTAGGAAATAGAGGTATGGACAGGTCAAGAAACTTACATAAGGTCACACAGTACAAACCTAAGCCAGGACTCAAACCATTTCTGTCTGACTGCAAAGCCCATACTCTTAAGCTACAGTACAATCCACACCTGTGACAGATCCTAGGGTCACTTTAAAATTTTAGCAAAATTCTTAGTGAAATGTTTCTGAAGGCATTCTATTAATTGGGTACATTTGAATCCCTTGGGAGTGCTTCCATTCATTCATTCAAAAGCTCAGACAGAACTAAGATGGCACTAAGCTTAGAGCTCGAGATAAAAATAGAAAATTCAATCTCTGTCCTTGGTAAGTGGCATCTAAAAATTAGCAGAAATCATAAGCTATAGTAAGCCAAACCTGAATAGCTTTGTGTTTCAGTTGTTTGCAGAAAGCCCTCAGATCAAATTCTGTTGACTTTTCTGTGGAGATGGAAAGATCACAGTTATAAAAATTTAGACATACTGTTTTCAAATCAACAAATTCTTAGGTGCATAACATCACTTCTTGCCAAATTACTACTAAAGAAATAAAGAGAATTAAGCAAGCAAAGAACTATGAAGCAGCAACAGAAACAACCTTAAATGCTCAAGCTTTGAAAACAGGTATTACATACCTCTCTAAAGATGATCAATGGGAGTTAAAATTAAGGAGATGCAGGATTTCTTTCTACACACTGCATAATTATATTATAATTTCAAAAATTTTTAAGAGTATGTGCCATATAAAAGCATATTACCTTTGAAGATTTTCTTATTCTTTACTGGTTGTCCAAGATCCACACTATTCTGTACATTGATCTTCATTTGTTTAGCTTTTTTGGAAATTCTAAGTAAAGTTTCTTCACTGCACCTTAGTGATTGCTCTTTTGTTAAAAACAGCTTATTTAGTAATTTAGTTACTCCTTTAGCTGCAAAATCTGTAGGCATTTTTTTCTTAAATAGCTCACAATACGGCTGTCCTAAAAATTCAGCAATATCAGAAGGAAAGGTAAAATCTTTGAAGTAAGGCAATGGTTGAATCCTAGAGACCTCTTGAAGCAATCCAAACAATGGTCCATATAAAGAAATCAGCCTTTTTAAAACACCTTTATAGAGAACCCTAGAGAAAGAAACAGGAGCTCATGAACCAGCCAGTAATTACAATTTGCAGATTATACAATAACTACAACATTCAAAGCTGAAAATAAATGCCTATCATCTGCCACTATAGATTAAAAAAAAAACACTATAATACATATTTGCAAATAGCCAGATTAGTCTAGCCCTAACAGAAAAATCCAAGTAGAGTATGTTACTTAAAACCAAATAGAGTACTACACAGAAAGCTGTCTCAAAAGATGTGCATCAAAATTTTAAACGCAGTTTTATCTAGGTGGTGAAATCTTAGGCAGTTCAGGTTCTTCACATTTTTCTATTTTAAAAAAATTCTTAAGCAACATATTATTGTTGTAATCGGCAAAAATTAAAGCTATTTTCATCACAGAAAATAATAATGAATGTTTGACATTTTAAAATAATATGAGTGGTGATTCTAACATTATTACCCCAGACTAAAGATAAGCAGAATAAAAAACAAGATGATTGGAAACAGTATTTGAGATATCCAGGCTAAGATTTCAAAGCAAGGTTTTTAATCTCCAAAGACAGAATTTTTTGTGTTTGTTTTCTAGTTTTAATTCAAATTACAGATAATTATCCCAATTGTCTAAAATGGCCCAGAACAAAGATGGGCAGATTCCAAGTCCAATTATTCATCAGATAAGTTTCATAATATAAAAGATACAAAAGAAGGTATCTTTGGTTTGCAACTATTATCAGTGTTCTTTATATCAACTACACCTCAAAAAGCAGTTGTGTTTCAGCTGGAAGAATCTAGAGCACATAAAGAAGGGCATTGCCATGAAAAATTACAAATCTACAGGCAGGAAGAATCATGAGATACAGCCTGTCCAGAAACACCCTCATTTTAAATGGGCTGTTTGCTATATAATTACAGCAACCATTTTTTTATTATTCTTGTTGCTAATCCTACAAATTCATTTACTTAATTCTTTAATAACTATCAACACATAGCCCCAAATAAACTCTAATCAAATGTAGAAAGAGAATTCCCGCATCTTCATCATCCCATGGGAAAACAAATATGAAAACTACTAATGAGAAACCTAAGGTGAGTTAAAGAGATGAAAAAGAAATGAAAGATTTCTAAGGTATGTACATTCATACCATAATCTGCTCACCAGCCCAACCATCACAAGGTTTAAAATAATGAATTCTTGCAAACCTAGATGTTTCACAGTCAAGCTGAAGAATCAAGTTAAAGTTGCAAAACAAAACCTAAGTCATTTCAATTTTGTAAATTATATTTATGACAAAACTAGATTGGAAGTAGAAATAATTTTCTTGAAGGAATTAAAGTCTTGAAGGAATATATACTCTGCTAGAGCTCTCATTATTAAATTTAGTTTCTAACATTAAGAGTTTCTAGCTATCAATGCCCTTAGGATAATACATACTAGATAAAGACAGGCAATCTCTGGCAATGATTGTATAAGACAATTCCGGGAAAAAGGAGGTCAAGAGCAAAATTTTAAGAATTCCCATAAGTTATAACTCTTACAGACCCCTTAGCTTTCTAAGAGAAATACTAAATTTATCCAAACAATTCCAATTCAGAAGAAGGTATTTCAGTTGATTCAAGGATACAGAAATGTCTTGCAGCAACAGTCTAACAAACGAAGTAACAATTTGCAGGCTCCCAAAATCTTCATCAGCACCAGTTCCAAAACTGGTTGGCTGGGGACGACACATGCTTTGGTAGGTACAGGCTGATTTTCACTTGGTAAAAATAGAAAAGTACATTACTTTCATTATTAAATATAAATCACTGATATAGCAGTTTTCAAGTGCAGATGGGCTATAAGCTCAAGGTAGTTATGCTCAATAATGACTCAGTTGATCAACACAGATGTTTCAATATAATCTATCATGACCCCACATTTCAAGTCACCCCAGTACCTCCTGCAAGCCCACAAAGGGAGATGACCACAAATACCAGATGTCCCTTATTAAAACAAAATTTGTACAACTAAAGTATAATTAGTTATATTCCAACACTAAGCAGAGTAAAGTCCAAAGGGAGAGCACAGCAAGACACCAAGTTCCCAGCTCATCACCAAGCAACTGGACCACTTACTTGGAAGAAAACAACTCAGACAAATCTTGAATTGAACCCTCCAAATTCATGTTTTTCAAACGTTTTAAACATTGTTCAACCTGAAAGGGGAAGAATATTTCAAATTTGTACGTATATGATATAGATAAAGCCACTGATGTAACCAGGAAAGCAAAGAGATCCAAAATTCCAAAGTATCAAAATAGACTAAATACCACATAATACCGTTTTTTAAGGGTAAAGAAATCCATAACCCAGAGCAATTGCTTCTGGTTAAAATTTTGAAATTTATCCAGCCAAAAGAAATTTTATCAAGTCAGGTTATGACTAAGAATTTAATATCTGTGATGCTATAAAGGAGACCAAAGTATAAGATTATTATCGAGATTATAATTTTTCTGAAGCAACATGACTTCTAATAGAGAAACTATTTAAAAAGATATAAATTAACTACTAAATTTTAACAATCTGTAAGTGCTACAGAGATGAGGAAAGTGATGTTTATTCACTTTATAAATGTATATTGAACACTTATACATGCAAGGCATGCTGGGAAATCAAATAGTACATAAGACACTTCCCAATTTCTAATTGCTAAAAATCTAGTAAACAATTAGTTTAAAAGACATATATTTAAGTACTAAAATAAAAAGATATGCCCTATTTAAAATTACAGTCCCCTCAGCACTTCCTCCTTCTTTGCTGTATTTTTCTCCATAGCTCCTCTTATTACCATCTGACATTTGACTGACTGACAACTGACTGACTGCCTTTTTCTTCTCCACTATAAGCTCCATGAGGGCAATATATTTTGTCTATTTTATCCACCACTGTGACTCAGTACTGAGTGTTGAGTAGGCACTCAATAGCATTTTTTTATCAAAAAAAAAAGAGGGGGGGGTAAGAGCCATTCATAAAACGTGGTAACAATTCTGTAGTCCTCAGGAAATACTACACAAAGGGTGTACATGGGACTGCTTCTAGACTGAAGGATGTGAAGATCTGGATGCCCACTGATACTGGCAAAGACAGTATCTTGCTAGAGCTACATATATGCTACTAGAAATTCAGTTATGGATTCTCTCTTAACAGCATAGTTTTCAGAGCAATGGAGGCAACAATCCCTAAATTCTCAGAGGGCAGCTCCTTATCTTTATCATTTTTCAATTCTGGATACCATCTTCTGAGAGAGGTATTGACAAACCAAGATGGTAAAGCAAAAAAATTTGAGAAGTTTATGAAGGAAGAGAGAACATGGAGGAACAACAGTCTTCATCTATTCAAAGTACAGTCACACGGAAGAGAAATCAAGACTATTTTCTGTGCTCCATTTGGGAGAACATGACAGTGAAGTTAATTCCAGTACCTAGCTTTTGAAGGTAGAAAAAATAAATCTCAAAGTAGATGAAAGTTTTCTATAAACTGTGATATGTTAAGCAGATATAAGGTAGTAGTAGTAATAATAGTTGCAGCAGCAGCATGAGACATGTTCTCTATTCTAAGGGATGGTAGGGAACATAAAATATGTACGCAAATACCTGTACCACGATGTAGACTGTGCAAAATGCCGTAAGAGAAACATAAAGGGAGGTCCAAATAATCAAGAATCATAAAAAGAGGAGTTCAGCTTTACTAATCAGAAAAATGCAACTTAAAATGAGATTACCATAACATACAATTATGTTACTCCTCAGGAAGAAATTATTACTGCTAGGAAGCCTTGAAGATGGGACTTAGAGGATGAGAAAGTCTTTAACTGACAGAGATGGAGGGGCTGGGCATTCTTAACATATAGAACCAGCTGAGCAAAGCTCAGGTAAGGGAATGAATGTGGTGAGCAGGGGACTCTATTCTCAGGTTGCCTGGAGTATAAAGCCGATGAAAGATGAGAGAGAAGCCTGAGCTAAGGAAAATTGAAGAGGACAGATCATGGAGGAACTTGTAAGCTTAGCTAAGAAGTTTGATCTTTATTCAGAAGACAGTGAAAAACCACTAAAAATCAAAGCTCTGTTTTAGGATGATTAATCTGATTTGGGTTTACAGAATATGAGAGAGTGTGGGAAAGGTTGGAGGAGGGAAGATCAGTTAGGATAGCAAGACAACTAACAGTAGATAATGTCTAAAAAGGAAAATGCAGCCAGAAGTAAAAGAAGGGACTAGATGCAGAGAAAGTTTTGACTGATCAACTGACTGGATGGCGGAGCTACATAAAAGAAAGAAGCAGAGAAAATGGACACACCGTTTTTCTGACTGGATAATTATTCACAATTACCCAGGAGAAATATGTTCAATCTGAGATAAGTTTGGTTTTGAAGTAAAAGATTCAAAAGGAGATAAAAGGTGCCTAGAAAAAATTCAGGAGAAGACCATGATCTCAGACTTTTCTCTGATGAAGAAATAGTCATCTCTTTTCCTTTAATGGGAGCTGAAAATTAACCAGAGAGCATGAACCTATAGGGTTAGAGATTATGTCTTTTTTACCCCTGTATACCCAGCACCAAGCAAAATGTCTGACAAATAGAAAGTTACCAAAAATACTTGCAGAATTAATAAAGTGAATCAATGAATGTGCATATGAAGAATCCAGCTTAGGAGGCTCTGCTCTATGGTGCAGTCCCTAAGCTGCAGGGTCCAGTTTTGTCTTACACTCCAAAAATTACATGAAACCACTTTACACACTCTAATATATTACCAATTTGATTATATACCCCACAATAAATAAATCACAACTTTGTTTTTTCTTTTTTTTATGATTGTAGGATTTTGATTATGCCCAGGAAATTATCTCTTAATTCAACACTTTGTCTTGGTCAAAACACTGTGTCCTTGAACTAAGCAAACACACTGTAATTTATTATAGATTGTGTATAATGCAGAAAACTTTTCATAAAATTACCCACTAGAAACAAGATAGAAAGAATTAAGCATAGTTCTTTTCTAAAAAATAAATGTTCTTTGAAATACTTTTAAAAAAATGAAATCTCATATGCAACTATGGACTAAAGACCTATAAGTCACAAGTAATTTACTGAGTTTCCATAAATAACAAAATATTAAGTGGTAGTATGATCTCCATCTTCATCAAGTAAAATGTTGAATCTTAAAAACAGGGCTTCCTCCTTACCTGTTTGAGGGCCAAATGGGGCTTGTGGCGACCCATTCTGTTGTGATTGCTGTAAAGGACTGCGCATAACACATCTGTTTCTGCATCTAAGGTTTGGCTCTTCAGCGACAGTGTAACAAGACAGCATTCTTTAATAACAGCTGCAATACAAAGGTCTAAAGCAGAGAGGTTTAGTAAGACTTAATATGCATTTCTACATTAAGTATATTATATAAAAATACACTGAAAGAAGTATCTTTCCTTATTTGTTTTAAAGGACTCAAGGACAAATTAACAAAATCAGCCTCAACTGTTAAGGACATAATTAATGATTCTAAGTATGTAAGAAGTTGGAAAACGATGACAGATGATACAAAGTCTGGAAATCAAGACAATACCTGTTAAACAAGTATGTATATCGTTATATCACATTTTATCATGATTTAAATAATCTTTTACATGAATATTTGGCAGTCATTTGGTGTACACTTATACTCTATAGATACCTTGAAGGTTTTGCACATGCTTTATACTTCTCTGAATCCCCATTTTTGTTATGCACATAAGCAAGGCAGAATGGATACATTCATACTCTTAAAAGTCAAAGACACTGTATTTAGATACCACTTTAAGATATGTTCAGAGAAACCGGCATGGCAACTGGAAATTATATTACTTGATGAATGCCTGACTGAACACGAGGTACTCAGCAGTAGATAACAGCTTCCAAGTTGGAAAAGCTGTGAAGTAGAAAATGGAGTTAATGTGTTCTGTATGGCTCTAAGGCTAGCACTAGCATCCTAGTGGAACACAAAGGTAGATTTCTATACAACATGGAGAACTTTCTGTTGTCCCAACTACCTGAAGCAAGAATGGGCTGCCTTGGAAATGGGGAGTGAGTTGGTGAATGTCCACACCTAATAGGAATCTTGTTAAGGAATTTTTGAATACAGGAAGAAGAAAATCTGTAAACTGTGTAGGATGGATGGATAGATGGAGAAGAGGATGTGATGATTAGATAGCTTATAAGCATTTAATATTAATAATAACCATCATTTAAGTGTTTATTTACCATATCGGGCACTGTTCTAAATGCTTTACCTATAACATTAACTCTTTCATTATTCAAAATAGCTCTGTGAAGCTATTTGAAAATGAGCTGAGGCACAAGAAGGTTAGACAATTCCCGGCAAAGGGAACAGCTAGGATTCAAACCCAGTCAATCTGGCTCCTGAGTCAAGCGCCTTACTACTACGCCCTAATGCCTGAATAAACGGCAATACCATCAAAACACTTTAAGAGCACTCCATCCCTAAATGACATCATTAGATCCTCCCAACAACCGGTGATGTAGGGAGAACTAACCCCATTTTGCAAATGAGGAACCAGAAAGATCGCAGTTTAAGTCCAGAGTGCCTAGGACTCGCAGCTCCCTAGAGGCAGAAGTCGGGAGGCTGACTGAAGGTAAACAGTCCTGAGTGCCCTGAGCGAGCACAAGGTGCCCAAGCAGCACTTTTCCCTGACGCCGGCTGCTTCCGCCTCTCTCTGCACTCTCCGTGCGGGGCCGGGCTCTGGGCCTTGCTCGCTCCAGCCAGGCCCGGTAAGGGCTCAGTAAGTTCAAGAAAGGGCTGCGCTGCCACAGGCCCTCCAAGATTCCCAGGCAAATTCTGGAGCGCAGCCCCTCCCGGGCCGTCCAGCACCCAGCCCGGCGCCCCACGACCTCAGGAAGTCCCGCCCCCCGCGCACGTGCACCGCCCCGGCCGGACGCCACCTCCGAAAACCGTCTGCTCCGGTCGCGCGCGCGGGGTACCTCACCCACCCAAGGCCACGCCGGGGTCCTGTACAGTCACTGCGCTGCGGCTCCCCGGCCTAGGGATCCTCACGCGGTTCCAAGGCTCCGGGCCCGGCAGCACCACAGCCATCAGGAGAGGCCGGGGAGGGACGGGGCAAGGCGGAGGCGGAGGCGGACGAGACAGTGAAGCCTCACCGAAGGTGGAGGAGGGCAAGGGGCGGGGCCGGGGAGGGGGCGGGGCCTTCACGGAATCGCGGACCGAATGCTGTGAACTGGGAAGGAGCCAGGTGGTCGTCCGGCATCTGGTAACCAAAACCTGCATGTGTGTCAGAATTTCTTGGGAGAGTTTTGGGGGAGAGCCTCACCCCAGTACTACTCAATCAGAATCTAGAACAGGGCGAGGAATCTGCATTTCCTTTATGCTTCCACCCAGGGGATTCTGAGGCACAACCAAGTTTGAAACTACAGTACTTCAAGGCGTTTTACAGATATGGAAACTGAGGCCCAGAGTTGGGTTGGTGCATGCATCCCCAACTCTGTCTCAGATACTAGGAGAAAAGCAGGAGATGAAATAAAGAGGCTTATGCAAAGTGTAGAATTTGTAACGCAGAAGTAATTTGACATATTCAAGGAAGGCTCCTTTATCTTGAGCAATCGCAAAAGTGCGCGATCATTAAACTTATAAGTTGGCCGACTTTCAATCCCATCCTCAGTATCTAAGAGAGGACTATATTCCAAGCTCTGCTGATCCTCACCTCATAATCATCTTTCTAATAGTTCATTTATTTTCAGCCAAATTGATGCTACCTTACTTAAGTACTTAAGGCTCCTATGGCAATATATTAGAGAGGCAGTTAGTGGATTTTGGAGACCCACTGCCAAGCTTCTAATTATAACTGCCCGTTTACTGGCTCTGTGATCTCAGGAAAGTTACCTAACTCCTCCAAACCTTAGTGTCCCTATAGGTAAAAAGAAGATAATGATAGTCTAGACCTTACAGAGTTGTAACGTGCTGTAGAACAGTGCCTGGCATACAAACAAACATTTACCAGAATGAATATTGTTGATATTATTTCTAATGTTTAATACAAGTAGCATTGTCTTATCGAAGCACTTCCCATCTCTCTGTGTGCGCTTTGCACTCACCAATTCCTCTACCTGGACCATCCTCTTGAAACAATCTCCCTTAGCTCCAGTGTCATCAACTCTTGGTAATTCTTTCTTAACATTCCATCCACACTCCAGAACTTGAAATAGGGACCCCTTTATGTTTACGTGGCCTCTATATTAGCTTCCTGTTGCTGTTATAACAAATTACTCCAAACATAGTCATTTAAAACAACTTAGTTATATTACATTTCTGAAGGTCAGAAGTCTAAAATCAATCTCACGACAAGTCAGCAGGGCCGGTTCCTCCTGGAGGCTCCAGTGGAGAAATTACTCCCTTGCTTTTTCCAGCATCTAGAAGCCACCTGAATTTCCTGGCTCGTGTCTCCATCCTCCATTTTCAAAGTCAGTAGCGCAACATTTTCCAGTCTCCCTCCACCCTCCCTCAACCTTCTGCATGCCTCCCTCTTAAAAGGACCTTGGTGATTACATCAAGCCCACCAAAATAACCCAGGATAATCTCCCCATCTCAGAATCTTTAATTACATCTACAAAATCTGTTGTGCAATGTAAGGTAATATATTCACAGATTCTGGGATTAGGATATGGACATTATTGGGAGGCATCATTCAGCTTACCACAGATTCTCTCAGAATTTACCTCGCTGTATTAATTTGTGTGTTCATATGTCTCCTCCAATGGCATGTGAGTTTACTGAAGGTTATACTGCCAATATAGCTCACTGATATTGTAGAGAGTTTTTGAAGGGTGAATAGGATTTGTTACCATTGGAGCGGAGTTCCGGTAACACACACCTCTAGGTCCTTTTCACCGTGGGGGAGAAATGGGTTACAGTAGGAAAGATGGAGAGCTATAACCCCGGGGGAAGGAGAGGTATGCTGTTATATTTGGGGCCGTGATGGGCGCTTCCAAAGGCATTCTTAGGTGATTGGCTCCTGAGGTCATTTTGATTGACACTTGGCTGCTATATAACTCGTTGCCTAGTGCACATGTGCTTACCCAGAACTCAGTCTGTTGTAATTAGATTCATGAATTTCCAGGCGTAAACATGGTATTATAATGAAGCTTTAATTGTAGGGTAGCACCTTTATCACCTTAGGCAAGGGCTCCCCAACCCTGACCACCATCACAAGGATCTTTTAAAAAGCACAAATTAGAGCCCTGCTGAGACCTAATGAATGTGAATTTCCAAAGTGGGGCCTGAAATTTTCTATTTTTAAAAGCTAGCCAGGTAATTATAATCAGCTAGGTTTGGGAACCACCAGTCTGTAAGCATCTATAGCCAGATTAGGCCAGCTAAGACTATGACCCACCTGTCCTTTGTCTCTGGGGATGCAGGAGGGATTCTCTAACTACCAATAGAGTATTCTTTGGGTGGTTTCTGGGCTGGGCCCTTATTCCTTTGTTCCCCTGTTGATCATGTCTGACTAGCTGGGAGTATAAAGCTGGGAGTAGTGGTGTCAATCATGGGCAGAATTTGTATTTTATCCTGAAGATTGGTGGTTCCCAAACCTGGCTGATTATAATTACTTGGATAGCTTTTAAAAATAGAATTTTTCAGGCCCCACTTTGGAAATTCATATTCATTAGGTCTGAGTAGAGCTCTAATTTGTGTTTTTTAAAAGCTCCTTGTCATGGTGGTCAGGTTTGGGGAGCCCTTACCTAAGGTGATAAAGGAGACACCGATTCTTAGGCAGGGCAATTTCGGTCACCTTGTATCAGAGCAAGAGCACGATGGAGAACAGATTTAAAGGAGATGAGGCTAGAGGTAAGAGATTCTATTACAGAAGCTAAAGCAAGACATCCTGAGGGCCTGAATTCAAACATTGGCACTAAATGGACAATATGACTTATGTAGATGTCTACTATTGAGATATTTAGGTGTCTTGTATGACTTCCAGATTTTTGCCTTGAGTTTGAGAAATGGCATTCAAAAGTAGAATGGATTTAGGCAGGAATAATGAGATAACTTTTGATATACTGAGTTTGAGGTTGCCTATGGATTGTCCATAAGAATATATACAATTCATCAGGTGAATAAATGGAACTATAACTTAGAGGATGATTGCAAAGGGAGGAAGTAGAGATGGTGAATATAGGACAATATTTTTAGAAGCTTACATGGGAAGGGAAAACAATTTATGTTTAACAGCAAGATGCAGGATCAATCAGGGTATTGTTTTATTTTGTTCTGATTTTAAGGATAGTGTATCAGTCAGTGTTCTACCAGTCAAACAGAACTAGTAGGAAATATATATATATATACACACATATATACACATACACACACACCTACACACACATACATATATGTGTGTGTATGTATCTATATATATATATATCAGGAAAAGCAGGATGGAAACTCTCAGGCAGGAGCTGAACCTACAGTCTACAAGTGGAATTTCTTCTTCCTTCCCGTCTTCAGGGAAATCTCAGTTCTTAAGGCCTTTTAAATGGATTAGATCAGGCTTGCCCAAATTGCCTGGGATAATCTCCCTTATATAAGGTCAACTGATTGTAGCTGATAATAACATCTACAGAATACCTACACAGCAACCCCTAGAGACTAGCAGTTTAATTGAATAACTGGGTTTCATAGCCTAGCCAAGCTAACACATAAAACTGACCATCACAGATAGGAAATTATTTGATCATATGTATAGGCTAAGGGAAAGGAGCCAACAGAGTTAGAGAAGCTAGACATACTAAAGAGATAAAGGGGAAGGAATTGATGGAGTAAGGCCCATTATTCATTCAGCAAAATTTTTGAACATCAGCGGTTTGCCAGGCACCATGCCAGGTCCCAGAGGACATAGGCAGGGATGGGATCAAGTGCTTACACAGAGGGATTAACTTAAAGATTGAAAAGCCTTTATTCTCTGAGCCAAGAAGAAACATAAAGATAGATTTAGATATGGATGTGTTTGGGGTAGAGTAATGGACAAATGAAGGAACCACAGAAAGAGGGATTCTGTGTTGTCAGTGGATGAGGACTTGTGATCATTACTAAGAGTAGAGAGCAGGGTTCTGGGTGAGCAGTGGATATTTGAAATCAGAGCTTCCTTGATCTGAGGAATATGGGAGAGACATGTGCTGCATACATTAGAGAGAAAATAAGATTTTAGGGCCATGCTTTAAAATTTCCTCATCTGCAAAGAAAGATTGCCACAGACAGAGATGACCATTAACTATATAAAACCTGTTTCATCTCATCAGTAATCAAAGAAGTATATACTAAAATAATTTTGAGGTTCTGTCAAATAGACAAAGAGTAAAAAGCATGGTGTCCCATGTTACTGGGGTTCAGACAAAATTTTAGATAATTTTAGATAAAAATTTTAGGATTTGTTGTCATGGACAAGAGTATATGGTAGAAGGCAGGGCCCTCCCATTAAAGCCTCCTCCGCAGACCTCTAGAGGTGGCTCATATGACTCTTGCTAGGAACAATGTGGAACCCACTATTGTAAATAAATAAATATGTATTAATTCAAGCAATTTTTAATGATACAGTAAAGTATTTTTAAAGCAGTTTAGAAAACTATATATATAGATAATGTGTTCCATGAAAAAATACATATCTACACATTGAGAAAAAGGTCTGGAAGGACCTAAATGAAGGGATTAACAATGGTTATCTTTCTAGCAGTCGGATGGATCCTTTTCTCTTCTGTGAGCTTATTTGTATTTTCTATTTAAAGGAAAGAACTATGTGTTGCTACTTTAATGAGAAAAAAAATTTTAATGCCAAAATAGTTTGTGTGTGTGTGTATGTGTGTGTGTGTGTGTTTTTAATGCCAAAATAGTTTGTAAAAAAGTCTTAGGATTTTGTGTGTGTGTGTGTGTGTGTGTGTGCGCGCGCATGTACACCAGTACATTCAGAGACAAGTACTTCTGGCTCATCCAGCTGTTGCCTCTCAGCTTCAATCCCCAACTTCTATACTTTGCTCTGTGATGCTGTGGCTGGGATTCAGCAAAACCACATCGTCTTTGCCAGCTGGTAGTTGTACCAACATGGACCACTAGAGGGAGGATGGAAGGTAGGTGAGCAGAGAAAGGACTTGTTCCTTCTTGC